GGCAGTGACCGCGCCAGCGGAGACGTGGGTGGGGTGGGGGGGTGTGCTCACGTGGCCGCCGCCATCTTGTTTTTGGCATGCTTGACTTTAATGAAGAGATGTATTTATGGAAAGTTGTCTATAATAAAATTTCTCTAAATCAATTTTCGTATTGACTTATATATAATCCCACTGAAGATGTGTTCCCACATAAAGATTCTGATCCAAAGATGTAAAGCGAGCCATACAGAAAATTTGGCATATGTTTTTAGTGCTGTCTTAACTGAATTTTTGTTTTTATTATAAAAGTCATATATCTTTTTAATTTTATTTATTTTTGGCTGCATTGGGTCTTTGTTGCTGTGCGCGGGCTTTCTCTACTTGTGGCAAGCAGGGGCTACTCTTCGTTGCGGTGTGTGGGCTTCTCATTGCGGTGTCTCTTGTTGTGGAGCACAGGCTCTAGGTGCACGGGCTTCAGTAGTTGTGGCGCACAGGCTCTAGAGCACAGGCTCAGCAATTGTGGCGCACGGGCTTCGCTGCTCCACAGCATGTGGGATCTTTCCGGAACAGGGCTTGAACCGTGTCCCCTGCATTGGCACACGGATTCTTAACCACTGTGCCACCAGGGAAGCCCAAAAGTCATATCTTATCACAGAAAACTGAACAATAGGTCAAATTTGAAAAGGAAAACCACCCATAATCCCATCATCTAAATATAACCTTTAGTTAGCATTCTGGGCAATTTCCCCCCAGCCTTCCCCTTCTTCTTTTATCTGGTAAAATAACATAAAAAACAATTAAAAAGAAAAACTATTATAGAAAAGTAATTTTCTGATAAAATTATCTGAGATAGCCATCCTTTTTAAAGCATGTTAACCAGGCCATGAAGCAGAACATCATAAATGAATTGTACGTTCTCATAGGAACATAATATTTGGAGCCTGGTCTTCCTGACCTGGGACTCTGTATCAAGTAAATAACAGATACAAACTGACAACAGAGCATACAAGCAAAGCTATCTATACATTTTTACAAAATCTAAAAGGCTGTAAACTTAAGAAATGGGAATAAATGTACAGAATATATTGCAAAAGGTCTTAATTATATAAAACACTCATCAAGTGTATTTTATATTTTCACAGGCTTCTAGCTAAAGATGATGCATTGAGTACACATTTCTTTTTTTTACACATTTATTTCTAATCACTCTTGAAACTCTAATGAAATTATAATAAAGGGATTAAAAAGGAGGCAATAACCATAGGGAATAGAAGAAACAGCAACAAGATTTTGGAAGCTCGAATGTAGAAGGAAGAGGTAAGTAGTTTGACCAACTTGAAAGAGCCACATTCTAAGCTGGCAGTGTGGCTAAGAAAGAAGCTGATTCAACCCCAGAGCCTCTGAAAGGCTGAGGAATGGATGGAGGGGTCAAAATCAGGAGGGCTCTTGAGCATCTGTCAAAAAGCAGTCAGACCTGGGAATTCCCTGGCGGTCCAGTGGTTAGGACTCGGTGCTTTCAGGGCCACGGCCCTGGTTCAATCCCTGGCTGGGGAACTAAGATCCCGCAAGCTGCGTGGCTTGGGAAGTAAGCAAGTAAATAAATAAATACGGTCAGACCTCCAAATCCACCCTGCATCCCTAAACTCCATGCAGTCCGGTGACTGTGCCCCTCCCACCTTCATCCAAACAGGACACTGGGCACGTATCCTCCAAGTCTCTGGGGGATATCATGCAAGATTGAGGGTGGGAGTGCCTACTGAAAAAAGGGATAAATGAAAGTTTCCACGCTGAAGGTTGAGACACCCAGCTCTCTCCTCCGCCATAACACCTGGTAGCCTGGCTTCTAGTTCCTGGGAAGAAGACTGGATGAGAATATAACCAGTCTTAGAAGGAAGACCTGAAGACACTGATATTGAGGGTTCTTCAGTCAACTGACTCAGCCAAATCACCCTATGGTAAAGCCTCATCTGTGTCCAGAGTTTTTAACAAGCTTTTTAAAATCCACCTCTTATATTGAAACAGCCCAGTTTCACTGGCATCTGAGTAAAGCATTTAATGAACAATAGAGAACAACCCCCTACCCACCAAAAAAAAAAAAAAAAAAAATGGTGAGAGAAGAAAAGTATTGGAGAAGAATCAGGCAATGCAGGAAGAAACGGGAATCTGAGGGTTTTGGTGAAAGGAGATCCCAGAATGACAGCCAATAAAGACAGGGGTAAAGAACAACCTGTCAAGCCTGGAACAGATCAAGAAGGGTCGGGAGAAAAGTCTCTGAGAAAAAGAAATCAACAGAATATCAAATGTTTTGAAAGTATGGAGAAATTTAGATAATTATAGAAGAGTATGGGAATTAATTATATAATAAATACTCAGAAAACTAAGCAAAGGGAAAACAAGAAAATAATTTCAGGAAAATTATGAAACCGTACTTGAAAGGCAAAGTAATCATAGTGTATACCACATGGCTCAATGCATATTTCTCACATAGTCACAACAATGTGAACACTGAATAGTGACCAGAATTTCCATATGACTCTAATGGAAATATGGAGGACAGTAAAAGTCTGCAGGGGTGATAGGGGTGTCTATGTGTGTGTGTTGGGGATCTGTGTGGGTGTGTGTGAGAAAGAAGGTTAGATTCTCATCCTGTACAGTTGGATGTCTACAAATCATGTCTAAAGAGAGAAAAATCAAGAAATAGTAATATAAGCATGTGATCTGAAACTATCAAGGTAACAAAATACTCAGTTTGCTCTGGGAAGTGGGAAGTGGGAAATGGGAGGGGAGGGAAACAGAGGCCTTATGGAACAGACCTTATCAAATTATTTAAATTATGTCCATGGACAAGTCTGATTCTGAACAATCATGCAAAAGGTATGGTATATGTGATGACATGGAAAGTGATATTATACGGAAAAGAGTTATGAAACTATTTAATGCAGTCTTTGTTAAAAAAATTATATATAGGGCTTCCCTGGTGGTGCAGTGGTTAAGAATCCGCCTGCCAATGCAGGGGACACGAGTTCGATCCCTGGCTCGGGGAAGATCCCACATGCCATGGAGCAACTAAGCCCGCGCACAACTGCTGAGCCTGTGCTCTAGAGCCTGTGCTCTAGAGTCTGCGGGCCACAACTACTGAAGCCCACGCGCCTAGAGCCCGTGCTCCACAACAAGAGAAGCCACTGCAATGAGAAGCCCGCGCACTGCATCGAAGAGTAGCCCCTGCTCGCCGCAACTAGGGAAAAGCCCGCGTGCAGCAACGAAGACCCAATGCAGCCAAAAATATAAATAAATTTATTTAAAAAAATTATACATAGACAGTGGTTTTACTAGGTTTTAGAATTAAAAGTTATTTCATAAAATAGCCCTGAATTATTGATTTATGGACACTGATATGTTGGGTTTCATATATTTTTAGGTTCTTTAGGTGAGGTATGACTTTCTTAGTATTGGCTATTGACGTTACATTATAATTTTCTATGCTATTACTTTTCACAAGTGCTTATTTCTACAATGAGTAGAAAGTGAGACATATTCGCTTGACAAGAAAGTGATTCTATGGGTTTACATGTAACACTATATTCTACAAAATAAATGTTTTAATTAGAATGTTCATAAAGGACATGTTGGACTTCATGTTCTGCATGTAACTTTATGAAGTGAATGAGAAGCTTCAACATTACATTACATAACCGCCACTTTGCAAACAACAGAGAAGTCATATTAAGGAGAAGTTTTAAGAAGTCACCCACTCAAGACAGATACTTACTCTGGCCCCATTTCTGATGGCCTCTTCATATAGCCCAATAACATCAAAGGTGCCTTTACTTGCCAACAACTTTGCTTTGCAGATCCAGAATTTAGCAAATTTTTCAGCCTCAGGAATACTGGACAAAATGGCAAATATTTCATTAGAATGTACACCCTGGAAAAAAGAAAAATACCCAGAGGTAATTATTCCTGTCTTGCTGTTGTTCTCTCCTAGTATTTGTCACAGAAGGTGTGCGGAAATCAGTCTGCTCAATATTTTTTTGAATTTAAAAAACCTGAATCTTACTGAAGTAGCTTATATAAATGTGCCCGTTTACGCAGCATGTTGTGATGAACTCTGACACTGATCATTAAATTTTAAATTAAGAGGCCAAAGAGAAAAATGTTTATCATAGTTGAAAGTAAGAAATATGTTCCCCATTTTTATGCAAAACCGAAACCAAACCAAACCAAACCCTGGAGTAATCAGCCATTCATGTATTTCTTACACATTCATAATAATGCGAACACTGAATGGTGACCAGAATTTCCGCTTGACCCTAACAGAAGAATGAAGGATGGCAAAGGTATGCAAGGGTCATGGGTGTATATGTGTGTGTGCTGGGGATCCACACAGGTGTATATAAAGATACAGAGGGTTAAATCCCACAAAAAGGAACTTTAAAATAGCTTCACTGGTTTGGTTCCCTTCTGCCTTGTACCAAGAGCAGCGCAGTGACACGGACCAGGAGGAATATGAAGAGCCACATGCCCAGAAACCCAGGCACTGGCACACTCAGCCAAGCAGCACCTCCTACTTCTCCTGAGATGGGAGAGACACAAGGGTAAGCTCACAGTCAAGAATCACTAATGTTTGAGGAAACCAACACTACATGAAAGAGGCATAAAACTCAAGAACCAGAAGAATGAGCACTGGAGCAAACAGCTGAGGGAGCAAAGAGAAATACATTTTAAGAGTACTGCAGTCAGAAGAGGAATAAAGACGCAGAAGTAGAGAATGGACTTGGGGTCACGGGGAGGGGGAGGGTAAGCTGGGACAAAGCGAGAGAGTGGCATGGACCTATACACACTACCAAGTGTAAAACAGATAGCTAGTGGGAAGCAGCCGCATAGCACAGGGAGATCAGCTCAGTGCTTTGTGACCACCTAAGGGTGAGGGTGGGATAGGGAGGGTGGGAGGGAGATGCAACAGCGAGGAGATATGGGGATATAAGTATATGTATAGCTGATTCACTTTGCTATAAAGTAGAAACTAACACACCACTGTAAAGCAATTATACTCCAATAAAGATGTTAAAAAAACAAACAAACCTGTAGTCAGTATCTTCAGAGTGATAAGAGAATACTGCCATCGTAAAAGTAGAACGAATGCTATGAGAAAGAATCAATAGAAAGGCAGAACAGTGGCATGGACACTGCTGAAGAATAAGTCAGTGAGCTGAAAATTTGGCTGTGGAATTCTTCCAGAACCCAGTGCAACAGAACAAAGAAATGAAGAGTATAAAAGAAAAGTTAAGAGTTCTGGAGGATACATCTATTACTCAAGAATTCCAATATCCACGTAATAGAATTTCTAGAAGAAAAAGTAGAGAAAGAACAAAGCAGTACACTCAAAGCAGTTGCAGAAGAAAATTCCCAAGGACGGAACAAAGAAACAAGTGTTCAGACTGCAAGGTACTCAGAGAGCTAAGCAAGATGGATGAAAAAAGACCCATACTTAGAAAACCAAGGAGGGAATTCCCTGGTGGTCCAGTGGTTAGGACTCCATGCTTCCACTGCAGGGGGCATGGGTTCGATCCCTGGTCGGGGAACTAAGGGCCTGCAAGCTGCATGGTATGGCCAATTGAAAAAAAAAAAGGGATAAAAGGAAAATCTTAAATCCTTCCAGAAAGGGGAAAAAAAGGATTACCTATACAGGAATGAGAATTAGATTGACATGAGACTTTAATAAATCAACAATTCCAGATGTAAGAAAGAAAATGAAAGCGTAACTTCAAATTTTCCAGGGAAGATCATGTGAATTTAGAAATTACCCCCAGCCAAACTATGAATCCAGCAGGAGGGTGAAATAATGACATTTTTACAAGCATAACAACTCAGAAAGTTTACCATTCAAAAACATAAAGTTACTAGTGAACAAACTTTAGAATTCAAGTGGAAGACTTGAAACAAAAGTAACCATGAGAAGAATATATAACTTGCATACCATGTTTGAACTCACACTTACCACTTTCTTTTGTGATTTCAATTTATATGCTTTCGTTATGAAATAAAGAAAACTGGATAAAGAGATGAGGGAAAATAAACCAAAAAATAATTCATGTAAATTGAATCACAAAATAAAATGGCAGAGATAAAGTTAAACATATGCATAATTATTACAACGGATGTATATGGGCTAAATGCACTTTTTTAAAAGCAGGGAGTTCCAGATTTGGTTAGAGAAATTAAATTGTATGTATTCATGAGACATACCTTTAAAAATAAAGGGATAGAAAAAAATTTACTAGACAAATTGTAAGAACAACAAAGCAGGTGTGGCAAGATTAATATCAGACAGAAGAAAAATCAAAGCAAGTCATGAATCTTTAGTACCTAACAACATAACTTTGAAAAATAGAAAGTAAATGTTGACAGAAATACAAAATGAAATTATCCATCACAAGTCACAGTGCCAGTGACAGACTCTGGCATATTTCTTTCAGAGAGCAATGGATACTCATGTAGAACTTTCTGTTCAACACAGAATACGTATCCTTTTCAAACACTTTTGGAACATTCACCAAGACTGATCAGACATTAAGACCAGAAAGAAAATTTCAACATTCACCAACCACAATGCAGTATAATTAAAAATTGACACCCAGAAAAAACAAAAAAAGAACCCCCAAAAACCCAACACCAACAAAACCAACTACATATCTGGGAGTTAAAAGATACTCTTCTAAGATAACTTTTGGATTAAAGTAGAACTCAAAATGGAAATCTCAAACTAGAAACAAAAATGAGAACATGTCAGTTATTAGGCTATGATCTCTTAGCTCTAAACCCACCTTTTATCCTCTGCTTTGTTGTGCAGAATTCTGTAAATGTGCTGGAATTCTGTAAATCACTTTCTGCTTTGACAGCAGTTCTCTGATGGGCTCGGCCAGTATGGGGCACTAGAGGGAGGTTGCAGGGCTGGAGAAGAGAGGGGACTGCCTCTTTCCCATTTGCTTTCATCACCCCAGCAATGGTCCTTCACTCTGGCAGCAGCAGTTGGTTCCAGCCTCTACCTTTTTACCCTGGCATTCACAGACTCTGCCTCACTGTGCTCCTTCAGAGGCAAAAGCACCAACCGGCTAGCTAGCATCGTTTTCTCAAGGTCTGAATCCCAGCCCTGCAGGGCCCCTCCTCCAGCTCCGGTGGCACCAGCATTGCTCGTAGTATGCCCTCCTTAGAGTTGGAGTCCCACTTCCACAGGGTTTGTCTCTCCTAGCTGCTAGGTTCTGATATCCCCAACCTCTCTTTGTTCCCCTTTCTTCCTTGAAGGGTCTGCTTCAAGGAGACTCACATAAGACACTGTGAAACCAACCTTCATATTCCATTCTTTCTATTGAGATACCTTGTGTTTCTGTTTTTCTGACTTGACTCTGATACAAAACATTACCTAGTCAAACATGAAGGATATGACCAAAGCTAAATTCAGAGGCAAACTGATAGCACTAAAAAAAATATTTTTAATAAAATAAGAAAGAATGACATAAATGCTCTAAGCTTTCAACTAAAAAAGCTAGAAAAGAAAAATAAACATAAAAATAGATACAGACACTGATGCAAGAGAAAAAAATAAAACCCAAAAGATGGCCTTTTAAAAAGATGAATAGAGAAATCTTTACCAAGTCTGATTTAAATAAAAGGCACAGAATTACTAAAATTGGTTCAAGAAATACAAAACCTAAATAGACCAATGACCATGGAAAAAACTGAAAAATAGAAAATTATCCCCCAAAGTCCAGATGATTTTAGAGGTAAGTTCTTATCAAACCTTCAAAGAACAAAATAATGAATCTCAATTGCAAATAAAATATTTTCAGGGTACAGGAAAAAAGGAAAATACCCAACTCATTTGACAAAGCCAGCATAATACTGATACTAGGAAAACACAAGAAAAGACAACCAAAGAACACACATAAAAATCTGAAATAACTGCAACTCACAAAACCATATACTTCATTTCTCTACATACCTATACTGTTAAGTAAATGCATAAAAACTGGAAGGATAATGGGCAGTAGTGGTCACCTCCAGGGAGAAGCCTGGGGTGCGTACCTTGTGTGTGTGCACGCGCCTGTGCAAGTGCTGGGAGTAATTTACCTGTATTATCTGAAATGCTTTTAAAAATAAAAATGTATTCAGGTATTTTTTTTTTTTTTTTTGCAGTATGCGGGCCCCTCACTGTTGTGGCCTCTCCCGCTGTGAAGCACAGGCTCCGGATGCGCAGGCTCAGCGGCCATGGCTCACGGGCCCAGCCGCTCCGCGGCACGCGGGATCCTCCCGGACCGGGGCATGAACACGTGTCCCCTGCATCGGCAGGCGGACTCTCAACCACTGCGCCACCAGGGAAGCCCCAGGTATTTTTTTAATGCAATGAAAACAAGAGAAAGAACAAAGAACTGAAGTTTAATTCCACAAAAGAGAAGTAGTTAATGTTTAACTGAATCTCATGAAAAAACTGCCCAGAGTAGACCTAATTTGAAGGTTTCCTTGTTTTTTTTTGCTGATATACAATACTACCAGTCAAACGACAGAACTGAGTCTGCTTCAGGCAAGGACCTTAGTATAGAAGTCTATCCAGTTATTTTTTATTAATATATTTTTCCTTCAAGGAATATCCTAAGGATCATACCCTTTGCTGACCATTTACTTTATCCTTATCTGAAAAATCCAAGATACAATTTAGATGCCATTCATAGCTACCTAGAGACTTTAGGATAATCTAATTCTACATGAGGCCTTGCCTTTTGACTTTAGCTTCATATCTAAATGTCAAATGTTTACTCTTTGGACCTCAATACATGAAGAAGGCAGAGTTCCTTTTGAACCCCTCTGGAGCCAGACTACCTGGGTTAATTTCCCAACTTCTCTGTGCCTCAGCTTCATTTGTAAAGTGAATATCATAATAGTCATTATGTAATTGTATGAAATAATATAAGTAAAGTGCTTAGAACAGTACCTGGCATACAAGAATCATTATTTAAGTACATGTTTATTATTATTACTATCCTTCCTCTCTATTAAAAGGAGGAGCTAAATTTCTGCTTAGACAGAGGTTATCTCCCCTACACTATATTTAACAAAAATGTTTAAAAAACTCTAAGATTCAGCAAAGCTTTGGGAGCTTATTGTTCTCACTCACCCCTTCAATGAGCTGCAGACATTCTGTCAGAGTGTTGTTAATTTTACTGGATAGTTCAAGTTGTGCTTTCTTTTCTTCCTCTTCTTTTTCCATACTCTTCCAGAATGAAATATTCATTTCCTCTATTATTTTTCTTTTTGTTTTAAGTTCCATAGGAGGCCGTTTATAGATCTTCCCCTTAGATTTCTGCCATTCTTCCAACTGTTTCCTGTTATACAATTAAAGAGGGGGATGGTTTTAGGGGTCTTTTTTGGTACATGGTTAAGGTTCTAAAGTATGACATGCATAGATTATCACTGAACACCTTCAACTAGAAAGTCAGGAGGATGTTTTAAAAATAATTTACCAATTGGTATTGGAAGCACTGGTTGCCCCCACCCTTCAGAAGGCAGATGCCAGATGGATTAGTTGGATTACAACAGGTGGTTAGCATCTCAATCTTCAAACTCCTTAATTTCCTGTTTATTTTTCAATATTCTTCTCTGAAAATTTTTACCTGTATGCTACTCCTGACAATTGCTGTCCTAAGACATCCCTCCATCTCTGAGATTATTAACTCAGCACTCCATTTCTCTTATCATGAGCTTTGTATCTGCCACTCAACCAGACTCACCAAACCTGTATTCTGCCCTCATTAGGGTTGTGGCCACTCAAAGTGACCCACTTTGCCCAGTTCCTTAGTCCTCTCCTACCACACATGACCTTCTCTTCCCCTAATGAGATCAATAATTTCAGGGCTCTTTTCTTAAGTAGCTAGTCTCTGATGGTGCCACGTCCTAATCCTCACTCTCCCCACACTGTTCACTCTCCACTCCTGCTCCTAGGCAGTCCATAGACTACTGTTGAAGGAGGCACCAAGACATGTAGGCCCAAGCATCTGAATGTAGGCTCTTCAGTTTCTTTAAATTACAACTACATGTTTATGACTCACAAACGTACATTTCAGCCCAGATCACTCTCAAGGGTCCCAAACTTTGTAAACTCCAGTGCCTAACTGATAACTTTTATTTGATGTCTGGCAGGTGCTTAAAATTTAATGTTGTTCAAAACAAAGCTCTCGATTTTCATCTCCAAATCTTTTCCCAAACAGCCTTCCCTACATTGGTAAACAGTGCCCCAATCTACCCAGTTGCTAGGGCCTAAAACGAGTTGTCTTGAGTAGTCCTTTCTTTTCCCCACATCCAACACATAATCAGTATTGATTCTATCTCCACTACCACCATTCTTGTCCAGATCACTGTCACCTTCTGCCTGAAATGCTGCAGCAGCCTCCTAACTCATCTCCTTCCTTCCACTCTAACCCTTCTCAAATTCATCCTGTGGAGAGCAGCTAGTGATCTTTACAACGTAAACCAGTCATGGCCAGGTACTTTCCATGGCTCTTGGCATAAAATTCAAAATGTTCTCTGTGGCCAGAGGTGCAGTGCAGGTTGGTTCCTGCCTACAACCTCATGTTACACCACTCTCCCCCTCACTCACTGCCTTCCAGGAGCTCTGGCATTTTTTCCGTTACTTAACCCAAGCTCATTCCTCCCTCAGGGTCTTGTATTGTCTGTCTTCAGTCCTCTGCTCAAATGATAACTCCTTGAAGAGGTAATTTTCTGTAATTATTCTGTCTTAATCAACATGTTGATTTTCTATCTTTTCCACTAGAATCCAAGGTCTATGAAGACAGAAACCTTGGATGTCCCAGTGCCTAGCATAGTGTTTAGAACACGTGTTTAATTACAGTAAAATTCACCTTTTTTGGTACACAGTTCTGTGAGTTTTGACAAATGCATGAAATCATGTGACTGTGACTACAATCAAGATATAACACCCTCAAAAATGCCCGTGTTCCTCAGTGGTCAACCTTGCCACCCATGCCAGCTCCCAGCAGTCACTGATCGCTTTGCTGTCCTTATAGCTTTGCTTTTTCCAGAAAATCAGTAACTATTACAAAAAAAAAAAAATTATTTATTTATTTATTTTTGGCTGCGTTGGGTCTTTGCTGCTGCACATGGGCTTTCTCTAGTTGCGTTGAGCGGGGGCTACTCTTCGTTGCGGTGCGCATGCTTCTCTCACTGTGGTGGCTTCTCCTGTTGCAGAGCAGGGGCTCTAGGCATGCGGTCTTCAGTAGTCATGGCACGTGGGCTCAGTAGTTGTGGCTCGCGGGCTCTAGAGTGCAGGCTCAGTAGTTGTGGCGCACGGGCTTAGCGGCTCCGGGGCATGTGGGATCTTCCCAGACCAGGACTTGAACCCGTGTCCCCTGCACTGGCAGGTGGATTCTTAACCATTGCACCACCAGGGAAGCCCCCGAGAAAATCAGTAACTATTAACTCTCATTTCTCCCTTGATTTCTCAGCACAGTCCACACAGTGCTTACATTAGCCCTAACTGCTTCCCCTTTACCTTCACCGGCTTCATGACAGAAGCTGAGTCATCTGGCATGTGTTTCCCATATGTTCACGGCATTCTTATCTCCTTAGCCTTGCTTCTAATCATAAATGAAGAGGGAACTTGCTTTTTCTAAAGCTAACATATTCCTAGGACCTGGCTTTATTATTCTAGTACTTTCCATATATACACCAGAAAAAATGTTCCATAATAGTAGACTATGACTGTGTGCTCATCACTGTATCTCCCAGTGTAGGTGCTAAAGGAACCACTCGAGGAATGAGAGAGTGATCTATCCTTCTCCACAGACTCCTCCTATTTTTTGTCATCAAACTTGGCCCAACTGTAATCTGTCTTAGGATCCATCATCTGTTATCTGGTCTACACTGCAAAGCTCCAGGATAGGGACCCTGACCTCCTCATTCACCAGCTCAAGGCCTTTGCATTCAGTTTTCTTTTTGCTCAGAAGACTCATCCTTCTTCCTGTCACTGTCCTTTTTTTTTTTTTTTGTGGTGCGCGGGCCTCTCACTGATGTGGCCTCTCCCACTGCGGAGCACAGGCTCCGGACGCGCAGGCTCAGCGGCCATGGCTCACGGGCCCAGCCGCTCCGCGGCACGTGGGATCCTCCCGGACCGGGGCACGAACCCGTGTCCCCTGCGTCGGCAAGCGGACTCTCAACCACTGCGCCACCAGGGAAGCCCTCTGTCACTGTCCTTTTCCCAGTCCAGATGTCACTGTTCAAAGTACCTCCCCTGACCTTTCTATCTAAAGTCATCCTAGCCTCCCTCTCTCAATCGCATCACCCTGAATTAAGTTATTTTCTGTCTCTTCAGGAGGGCAGAGAGCTTGTCAGTGGTGTTCAGGGCTGTATTCAGAGAATAAATCTTGCCCTCACTTCACTCTGCTATATATTTTAGCTACCATCTAATTTTACATGTTCCTTTTGCCCTTGCCAGGAATCTCCTTATTTTCTACTCCAATCAAGTGTACAGAGGTGCTTCTCCTGGGAGGTTCACCACATCATCAGAATATGTCTGGTCCTGTTCAGAAAGTGTATGAAATCCTTTGGCTCAGTTTCAAGCATCACACATGTTAATGTTAACTCCCAGCAGCCTGAGATCCTGACTTCTAACATCTGAACTCTGTATGTGAACCGATTACTTCTCTCTGCCTTAGCATACTTTCCAAAACTTGGCCTGCTCAGACTCATAGAAGTTTCCTGCTCCTTCTTCTCTGATAACTTTTCGGATTTCACATTAGTTGGCTTGACAAGGGACTACCATTTCCGCACTTCCTAGCAGTGTAAGTTCACTACTCTGGCTCCTCCTACCCTGCCTCTTCTGTTGCTGTTCAGTCCCTGCAGGGCACTTCTTGCATGAATGGTCTACCTCTGCAACCTCTACTTCTTATTCAACTATTCTGTTTCAATTTCTTTTTTAAAAAATAAATTATTTCAAGCATACAGAAAATTACAGAGAACAATTTGAACACATGTATGTACCACCCAGCTCTATCAAGTCTTCATATTTGCTTTGCCTTTTTTTCAGAGTTACAGCTAAAAATTACTCAGGAGCCATTATTTATGACCCATCTCCTGACTTTAGCACTCCTGATGGTCAATTTGCCTAGTCATCTTAATTTACAAAATTTTGGAATTAAAATAAAGTACCTTCGATCCTCTGCTGTGGTCTTCTTATTTGGATTAGTATGGGTCCCATTTGGGAGTCCTCTTCCATTTACGGTTGTGCCACCAGCTTGAGTTCTGGGAGCTGTCTTGTTTAGAAAACAGTTCTGGGCAAGAGCCCTTTTCAACTTGGAGTCCAAAGTCCGTGTTTTTTGTTGATGGCTGTTGTTGCATTTATTCCCTTTGGCTCCATTTGCTCTTATGCTAGGGGTGCTTGGAATGACTGAGTTAAAGCTGCCAACTGTCAAATTAGGCCTTTGGCTTATGGCTTTTGATTTTTGCAGTACATATGATGTCCGACGTCTACAACAAGCTTGCGTGGGTTTATGATCTTGCTTTGTGTTTGGATGTCTGCTGTTACATCCTCTTTGAAGCACTTTGGGGTATGTGCTGGGTTTGCTATGTTTTACTTTCTGTTCAGTAACAGTGCATGACTGCAACTTAGTTTCATTTGGTCTTTCATACTTACCCCTATTAACCTTTATATTCTTTATGTCCTTAACCACTGTTTTCCTTGATGCTTGAGTCCTGTTAAGTGTCTGGACAAAGTGAGAGGAAACTGTTTTGGGGGGTTTTCCCCCTGGTCTTGCAAGATCTGTTCCTCTAGAGAGTTGCTGAGACTTCTCTGGTGGAATCCTGATTTGTTTTTCTTCAAGAAATTGTTTATTAACTCTGTCTTTCAGAACAGCACTATTCACTGACCTTTTGCCCAAGACTTCTTTAGTAGGAGCCATACTGCTTTTGGTTTGATTAGTTTTTGGCTTACTTACGGTGCCTAATTCAGGATTTGGCTTCCTCTCAGAGTCTGGAAAGATTTGGGGCAAGTTCTCTTTATTCATCTCTTTTAGGCAGCTACCCAAGGATTCATTTTCAACATGGGTATTGTCCACAGAGTCTGTACATTTAGCAGTTCCTTGTTGTGTTACCTGCTGCTTTTTAGTTTTCAATTCCTGTATATTAAGTGACCCCATGGTTTTTCTTGACAGTTCTCCAGTAGTGGATGATCCAAATTCATGCTGTTGTTGACTACTTCCGGAAAGCTTACAGTTTGGGTTAGAAGAAACATATTCTGAAGTGAGCCTTTTTTTGCCCAGAAGTTTTGGTGGCTCCAACTTTGGCCTCTGGGACCCTGTGATACTGGCAGGTCTGGACTGATGTTTAATGCTGACGGGTCTTGTAGCTTTGACAGGCAAAGCAACATGGTTGGTAACATCCTTTTTAGGTCTAACAGTCTAAAAAGACAGAGAAAGATATAAAAAAAGTAAACTCATAACAACAGTCCACTGTTTTTAAAATAAAAAAACTAGCTATTTTGTTTATAATTTCATTTAAGAAAATTGAATCCTGAGAAAATAAAAGACTCACTAATAGATGATTTTTATAACTGGGGTTCCTATTAGCAATATATTAGAATCTTTTAGCTTGATAGAATTCAGCAGAGATGCAGTAAACACATAAAAATTGCTGTTTAAAAAAATAAGTTTGGCTCCATCAAACAAGTACTTGCTGAATGCCCATTATATCCAAATGAAGTGTCCTTCTAGGGACTCTGGAAAGATACATACATAATAGACTTATGTTAGGGTACCTCCCAAGTTCCTCCTAGTACTTTGTATTGCTACACTAATTTTCTTAAAACAACACTGCCTTTGTAAAGGTCAGAGTGTCACTCAAGAAACTTTGTCTCATCCTGGAGATCAGTGGTATGGATATGTGGTAGATGCTGGGAGTCCTGAGATACTCTGGAACAGTTCTGAATAAGTACCTAACATCTCAGCAGAAAGCCAGTCATATTTGTGAAGTCAGGAAAGGGTTTTAAGGTTAGATTGTACATTATTAACAAGTAAATATTTCAGTCATGTGATTTAATTTTGGATAAGAAAGGTAGGACTAGGTTGCAGAGAACTTTTAAAACTAGGGAGGGGTATTTAGAATTAATATGGTAAATAACAGGGACAGGCCACTGTGGATTCTGGAGCGTCTGCATTGAACGCAGTTACTCAGAAAGGAGAATTTGGCAGAGATTTGTAGACTATCCAGGGAAAGATATGGCAGTGCTAGAGTTACTGTTCTCTATTTTTGGTTTGATAATATGATGAATAATTACTATGTAAGCTTTGTGAGCGTGTAAAGGACGTCTGTAACTAGAACCACTTGTCCTTAAGGGTGAAGAGATGGCCACCCTAGGACGGCCTGGGCATGTGCACTGTTGCTCATGGGTACTCTAGGGGAGCGCTGGGGGCGGGAGGCAGAGAGACAGACGGTGTGCTCCCGCGGCCACAGCTGGGTTACTCCTTGAGCCCCAACATTTACATCAACCTCGGCTCTCCCCATTATTACTCATTACTGCTTACTGAAGAGGCAGGGATGTTGGTATAAACTTTCCGATTATGTGCTATTCCTTACTCGTTCTTTTTTGTATATTAAAAAAAAAATCGACATATAATTTGTACCCCATTCACCATTTTAAAGCATACAATTCAGTGGGTTTTAGTATATTCACAAGACTGTACAACCATCGCCACTAATTCCAGAACATTTTCATCACTGCAGAAAGAAATCCCACATTTGTTAGAAGTCACTCCCCATTTCCTCCTCCCCACGGATCTGGGCAACCAGTAATCTATTTTCTGTCTCTATAAATTTGCCTATTCTGGACACTTCATATAAATGGATTCATATAATATGTGGCCTTTCGAATCTGGCTTCTTCCACTTAACATAATGTTTTTGAGATTCACCCGTGTTGTGGCGTGTATCAGCACTTCATTACTCTATTTTTTAAATAATAAACTTTAGGGCTTCCCTGGTGGCACAGTGGTTGAGAGTCCGCCTGCCGATGCAGGGGACACGGGTTCGTGCCCCGGTCCGGGAAGATCCCACGTGCCGCGGAGCGGCTGGGCCCGTGAGCCATGGCTGCTAAGCCTGCACGTCAGAGCCTGTGCTCCACAACCGGAGAGGCCACAACAGTGAGAGGCCTGCATACCGCAAAACAAACAAACAAACAAACAAAAACAAACAAAAAAACACTTCATTTTTAGAGCAGTTTTAGTTCAAAGCAAAATTGAGTGGAAGTACAGAGACTTCCCATATATTCCTTGTCCCCACACAGGCACGTCACTACTTTTTATGGCTGAATAAATATTCCATTTTATGGCTATATCACATTTTGGTTATCTATTCAACTGATGGATATCTGGGTCATTTCTACCTTCTGGCTATTATGAATAATGTTGCTATGAATATTTGCTATAAGTTTTGTGTGTTTGTGTGTGTGTGTATCTCTGTTTTCAACTCTCTCGGGTATATATCTAGGAGTGGAATTGCTGGGTCATATGGTAGCTCTGTGATTAACTTCTGAGGAACTGTCAAACTATTTTCCAAAGGTACTGCACCATTTTACATTCCCACCAGTAATGCATAAGTGTTCTAATTTCTCCATATCCTCCCCAACACGTATTATCTGTCTTTTTGATTATAACCATCCTAGTGGGTGTGAAGTGGTATCTCACTGATTTTTATTTGCATTTCCCTAACGTTGAGCATCTTTTCATGTCCTTATTTCCCATTTGTGTACTTTCTTCGGAGAAATTTCTGTTCAGATCCTTTGTCCATTTAGAAATTGGGCTGTCTTTTTATTGTTGAGTTGTAAGAGTGCTTTATTTATCCTGGGTACTAGATCTTTATCATATATAAGATTTGCAAATATTTTCTCTCTTGTACAGTTTTTATATCTTTATTTTAGGTCAGCCTGGCCTTGCTAACTTACTGTAAGTGGTAGAACTGGTCATGCAGTTAGTTTCGAGTACTTCATTGAGAGAAACACTAGGCTTAGAAGAGTCATTAGGCTATAGCAGAATAGCCTGCAATCAATAGGCAAATACACACCATTCGAGCTGGAAGGGATTTTGGAGATCATTAAATTGAGCCCCTTCATCTGAGAGGGAACGTGAGCTGCCCAAGGTCAGGCAGGGTGTTAAGAGGCAGGGTTGGGGATAGAACTTCAGTCTCTGACTCCTGGCCTCAGACAACTCACGTCAGATAGATCTGATAAAAAACAAAAAACCAAAAAAACAAAGAATGTACAAGAAGGAACAAGTGATACAAACTGAATCTGGTCACTTCATTCTGCACATATGAAGCCAGAGAAGGGAGAAAACTCACAAAGGATATGACTAGGGTTTAAATCAGGAGAGATTTACTGCATCTGTACTAGGCACTGTGCTAGACTGCAAGGGGATACAAAGATGAGAGAAGATGACACATGCCCCTGAGGAGTGCTAACAGAAAATTATGATACGAAGACATGAGGGCTGTAATAGGGCTGGGAGGGATTGTAGAGCTCATCTGATTGGTGCTTTTCAAGCATTTTTGTTCATATACTCCCAAAATAATTTTGACAAACTCTGTGCCTTCCTATACTTTTAAAAGTTAATAGCTAACATTTTTTCATCGTTAGTTTAAATAGCTGCAAATATGTAATTTCAGGCACACTGTCAATATTGACATTTCAAGATGAAATGAAATTTGATACCCACTATAATCCATTTAAAAACTACAGAAACATACTCTTCTTTAACAACTGAAAATATAATACCTTTCTTTTTTCTACTGGTCTGTTCTCATTCCAGTTCACCACAAAATTTTTATACTAGATATTTGTGCTTGGAAGTTTATAATCCATTACCCTATCATACTTCTCAACAAATATATGTCTATAAATTTACCTTAATCTGTATTTACCATAACTATAAATAATTCAGCAAAAGAAGATAAATGTTACCAATTTTGATCAATAATTATTAAATATAAAGAGTAAAGTACTTTTTCATAAAGAAATGGAAATATCTCTTAGTGAGTTGGCTGGAGCTTCCCCCCACAATTAGTTCATGTATTCACTGGAAGACATTATATTATTTATTGCTAGAATGAGACAGAGGTCTTCATCAGTTTTATTCCTTTGGCTTTTTAAATAAAAACACAGAAAATTTGTTCACATTATCAAGTAGATGGGAATAGAAGATGTTTTGTTACAGCAATTACAGTCAACTCTTTGAACTCATCCAGAGGCATATGCTAAAAGTCATGCAGTGATCTCTCAGCAAAAAATTATTTTTAATGTTCTTCCACACGACAATGTTGAATGCAAAGAACTGGAAGCTGCTTGAACGGCAAAAGGCTTTCTGAACATCACCACCATTATTTCAAATTGTCCCTTGATTTTGTACTTTGGAGGTACATATTTCCATCCCTGGGCAAAATAAGCAGAGAAAGAACTGAAAAGTGGAAGAAGGATGACAAGGGAATGTCAAGGGAGGTGGGAAAGGAGAAACTGAAGCACATTCGACGACAAATCAATTTTGGGCAAAAGCACATACGGAAGCTGAAGATGTGGAGATTGGTTCTGTTAAAATGTGTACCTGCTGGAGATGCTTTATGCACCTCCAGAGGAACATATATCCCAATATGCAGACACTTCTAAATGTACTTCAATCTGCATTAACTCAATCCTTTCAAACAACTCTATGAGAAACCTCCTATTATTCCCATCTCACAGATGAAGTTAAATAACTTGCCCAAGGTCTCTGAGCTAGAAAACAAAAGAGTCAGGATTTGGACCAAGGCAGTTTCTTCACTATTATACATTACTGTTTCTCAATAAATCCAAGAGGATGGCTCCAAGGAATCTTTTCAAATATGTTAAAACTCCTGATAGGAACAGAAAATGAAAAACTTCTTTTGTGTGTTCCTTTGTGTGCCAGAATGAAACCTGAAACAGTTATGGTGAGGCTGTTAATTTCAAAAAGTGAGGCATGGTTAACAGTACACTAAGAGTATGCCAGAAAAGCTTTGTTCAGGTCCTTACTGGCTGTATAAATGTGGCCAATCTCCTTGAGCCTCAGTCCTCTCATTTGTAAAATGGGAATAATAATATCTATAATCTAGGGAAGATGCTATAAAGTCCTGGTTTTTGCAAGATAGTTTTGATTTATGCCTGTTGGCCCAACATATTAATAGCACTTCCTTTTACTCTCAAAGGTCTCTGGACATTAAATCATATGACCACCCTGCTTATAGCGTTGTTTTGAATATTAATTGAGATATTGTATGTAAGGTGTCTCATCCAGTATCTGGATAATGATAAATACTCAAATGTTAACTCTTATGGTTATATATAAAAAGTGTTTTATAAATTGTGAAGCCTTGTCCAATTGTAATGATGAGTTATTTGCCTAGTACGTTGAGTTTCTCCCAAGTTCCGTAATTGCCTTCCCCACTTCATTTTTATCTTCACTACTGTGATATCTACCGTAAAGGGTAGGTATTACCTCATTTAAGAGATGATTTACTGAAATCAGTATTGTCAGCTTCGAGCGAACCTTCTGGGAGCTCTTAATGAGGGCCCCTTCCAACAGAGTTTTTAAGCCTTGCATGCTATACCAGTTCAATCTTCCTAAAGCATAAGTCTAACTCAGGGGCTTCCCTGGTGGCGCAGTGGTGAAGAATTCACCTGGCAATGCAGGGGACACAAGTTCGTGCCCTGGTCCGGGAAGATCCCACATGCCACAGAGCAACTAAGTCCGTGCGCCACAACTACTGAGCCTGTGCTCTAGAGCCTGTGAGCCATAACTACTGAGCCCACATGACACAACTACTGAAGCCTGTGCGCCTAGAGTCCGTGCTCTGCAACAAGAGAAGCCACCTCAATGAGAAGTCCGCGCACTACAACGAAGAGTAACCCCCATTCTCCGCAACTAGAGAAAGCCTGTGCAGCAATGAAGGCCCAACACAGCCAAAAATTAATAAATAAAAAATAAATAAATATAAAAAAAAGTCTAGCCCAGTAATTCTCAACTGTTCACATCATCATGCACCACTTTTGCTTTCTATGCATTTTCTATCCTCCACAGTGTCTAATGATGTCACGTGTACACATAACATATATAATCTATACGATATATACATGCCTATGCATATAGGTATATATGTATATGTGTGTGTGTCTGTGTACATTTAATGACCGAATCATTAAAACTTACGAAAATTGGCACCAGTGTCACACTTTGGGCAACACTATTTCAATTACACTTGAACTTAGATAAAACTATGGCTTTAAAAATTAAAGTTGGGATTTTTACTGATTATTTTATTGCAGATGAAGAATTTGTGCCATTTTCAGGAGGATAATTTCTCCCATTTTAAAACCTTAAGTATGTTAGGATCTTTTTATCATTCCATCCACAGTCTAGCTGAACCGAACTGACTGGGAAGCACAGGCTTGTTAAGTACCTTGGAAGATCTAACACAGATGTTCTCTTTTAATGACTACTGAGCTATTTAACTTCATGGTAGCATACCAAAGTAGTTAAGACCATGGGCTCTCAGCCTATCAACGTATTAAGAGATTAATAACTATGTGACCTTGGGAACTTAACCCTTCTGTGACTCAGTTCCCTCATCTGTAAAATGGGCTACTAATAGTCCTACCTCATAAGGTTGTAAGGACTCAAGGAGTTAATGCAAGTCAGAAAAGTGCCAGACACACAGTAAGTATTCAATAAATGTTAAGAGGACAAAAGTGCACTTAAAGATTTTTTTTGGTTAATAAACTGAACGATAGTATGTTGTACTTTTCAAAAAATGATACTATTGCTTACTAAACCAAACTGTTCTTATATTTATGTAAATACCTTTGCAAAACATGTTCTTTAGGTTGTTAACATGTTTATTATTTTTATTGCTAATCATCCAAAACGGATATTTTTAAAAGACTAATTACTACTTACAGAGTTAGAAGGTGGTGGATTCGGGCAATTATTCTTGGCTTTTAGATACGGCCTGTAAAAGATGAAATAAGATTAATTCTTGGTACAGAAGAATCAGCAAGGCTTGGGAAGTACAGTGATTAAAAATTTTTACGGTTAGAATTTTAAATCATTATAACTTCCATATATGGTAAAAAAAATTCAAAAATTATGATTGATAGAAAGGCTCCTTATCATCCCTTCCTTTGTCCTATTATTCTACTCCTCAGTGACCACAACCACTGTTGCCCATTTTTTTCTGTGATCCTTTCATAGATGTCCTATGCATAAACATAACATTCTAACAGTGTTAATAAAATACGTGTTTTCTTCATATCTTCACAGTCTTACTCATTGGAACATCATTCCGGGAACATTGCAATGTGCCGGGCACTAGAGATTCAATGCCAAATAAGATAATTAAATGCTTCTTTAAAAAGCTTGCTTGTTTTCTATGTCTGTGAATCTGTTTCTGTTTTGTAAATAAATTCATTTATATTAAATCAACTATAAGTAAGAAAAAAGCTTGCTTGTTTTTTTAATATCTACACATAGTGAATTTTCAGGTGGGGAAAATGATATAAATAAAAAATACTGAGGCACATGTGAAATCTAGTTAGTGAGAGATAAAATGCAAAAAAAGAGAAAAGCAGAGAATTTAGACTCAATCTTCACAGATCATAAACTGACAAGACTAACAGGGACTTTGATCATGACTTGATGCTTGCTTCTCCCATCTTGGATGTAAGTCCTGGGAAGGCAGCAACCGCATACTTTCAGAAGCAACAGTGACTGATACATTATAGGTATTAAATAAATATATGTTGACTGCATGAATTAGGTTTATTTAATCAAGGAAATAGAGTCAAGTAAAAACCCAAAGTAAAAAGAAACTAAAACAAAGGGTGAAAGCTAACTTTGTAAAAATTGATTTTCAAATAAAAATTTAGCAACATGTTGGGTAGAAAAACATATCAATGCTAAGGCGAGTGAGCTAACACCATTTAGAATACAAGATGCTGACAAAAGATCAAAGTGAAGCAGTCATATTCTGTTTACCTCAAGAGTAAGTGCTAAGAGGAAGACCAAAGAGCACTGTCAGGCTGGAGGATGTGGGTGTGCAGCTTATGGAGGATGGATTGAACCGGCTCTCCTGCTTTAGAGAGAAGCACCAGAACCAGGGTCACTCAACTCCTCGGCCAAACATTGCCTTCACAAGAATCACTCTCCCAGGAAATGCAGCAGGGACAGGAAAAGCTTGCAGCATTGCAGGTGACATTGTAGACCCTCCTCTCCCGCCTTTGGAGACTGTCACAGTAGTAATGCTTAAATCTTTGCCAACATTTTTGTCATGGCTCGCCTGGAAATGCCCTTTTTGAATAATCACAGGATCCCAAGGCAAGTCTGAGTAGACTGCAAACAAAAGGGCTATGTTTTGAAAAGGCTTTAGGTTGCTATTAGCAACCAGGGCAACGGAACTTGCATAACCGTGGGAGACAAACTCACTTGGTGTTTTGGCACTTCAGTTTTCCCTTGGCTGCTAGGTACTCCTGGAGCTTTCTCTGCCGCTCTTCTGCAAAACAGGCGAGCAAACGAACGCGTGAGATTCTAACCAGTTCATTTATATTCTAAAAGATGGCACCTTTCTGTAATGATTCTGGCTTTGGACCATAAAGCTATAAAGTCCCTAGCCCTACAAATGTGCCTCCAGGTTAACATTAACATCAACAACATCATTTATATGCCACGTACAAAGCTCATCACACTTATATTACTTCCTTTCATCTGCACTACAATGCTATGTATTTTACAGTCTGAAATTTAAAGAGGATAAATGATATGCCCAAAGTTACCCAGATAACATGTGGCTAAGCCAGGATCTGAAATCAGGTTTATCCAAACCCAAAGCCCTTGCTCACAGCCACTGTTCTCAGCTCCAACACATCAAGCTTTGCTTGAAGAGATTCTGTTACTGGCCCACCTAAGCTGGCAAGCCCGGCCTTGTTTTATTAATCCCTTCTAACAGGAATGATGACTTTTGACCCCAAACCTTTACACGGTTTCCTTTGGTACTAAGGACAAAATAGGCCAGGTTAGGGGGTTCACGGCAAACATCTATCCATATGGTGACTTTCTAAGCAAGGCATCTGTGAGGGAATGAAAAGTCAGTATTTCCATCTTCAAGAAGTTTCAATCTAGTAGTGGAGATAAAATAAACACAATAATAATTACAATATAAGGCAAAATCTAAGTGCCATTAAAACAGGGTCAAAGAAAGAACTATGGGAGTCCAGAGGCAGAGACTGAGTGAGGGGACTGGGTGGTTGGAAAAGGCTAAAATTCAGTAATGGTTTAAAAAAAAAAAAAATAAGCTATAGGGGTGCAAAACAACTCAACCTCATTTAAACTGAGTTGCCCTGTGTTTTTCGGGGTTTTTTTGCTTTTCGTTTTTGGAGTATAATTGCCTTACAATGTTGTGTTAGCTTCTGCGGCAGAGCCAAGTGAATCAGCCATTCGCATACACACATCCCCTCCCTCTTGGACCGCCCCCCCCCCCATCCCACCCAACTAGGCCATCACAGAGCAGGAGCTATCTATTTTCCATGTGGTAGTGTATTTATGCCCTGTATTTTGATATCTGGCTCTGATGCATCCCTAGGAGACAGCTGTGTCAAGAGGACTGTTGGAGGCTGACAGACGGGGCTGGAATCCCAGCTCTGTGACTTCTAGCAAGTTACCAAACCTTGCTGCTGCTGCTGAGCCTTTAAAATGGGGCAGAAATGCCCAACTTGAAAGGCTGTTGTGTAAGGTGCCTAGAACAGTCAACATGCATTATTACCGAAACCAACAAAACACTATACGCATTTTTGGAGCAGGTGGCAGGCACCTGAGCAGGAGTATGCTGAAAGTTAGCAAAGGGCTCCAGGCACATCTAAGAGGTCGGGGAGCCCTTCAGCCTCCGCGCACGTTTAACCCATCAGCTTCCACCAGGGCGCGCGGGCTTGCGAGGAGATGAGCTCCGCGTCGGGGTGAGACCCTCCTTGACAGCTGTCACAACTCGGGCGGCCGGCGCTGCCCCGAGGGCCACACCCGGGCTCCACCTGGAGCCAAATATGGGCCGCAGGAGCGCCTGGCTTCCTACTGACTGTGCCACCCCGGGCAAGGGGCCTCAGGTTCTTTACCCAAACGAGGTGACAATGACAGCTTTTTGCAGAGCTGCTGCGGGAGTCACTGGGAAGATGCCTGGGAGGCACATGGCCCCGCGCACACCCTCCCCGACCCCCGGCCCCGACTTCTCACCGGGGCCTAGGGCCGGGGCTCGGGTCAGCGCCCCCAGGACCGGAAACGCCGGCGGGGAGGCAGAGGCAGGCAGACGAACGGACCGGCCACTTCCGCTTAAAGGACTCACTCGGGGACCTCCCTACGTCCCCGCCCGTAAGACACAGCGGCTCGAAGTCATACTCACCCGCGGCGGCGGAGGGCCCCGGCAGCACCATGACTCCCCGGCTAAAGTTCTTCTTCAAAAGGCCGCGCCTGCAGTCAACGCCGGCGCGTCGCGCGTGCGCCCACTCTCATTGGCTCCCGTTGGTTTGAATCCCGCCAGTCGGAAGCAGGGGAGGGCGGGACAAAAGGAAATAGACGAGTTGTGGTTGGCTCTGCCAGTCAAATCACCCAGGGGGCCCTTTGATCGGAACAACGTACAGTTGAACGGGCAGTTGGCCCTGAGGGCGGCTGGTTGGGTGGGAGAAGCCCCCCCTTTTAAGGATGCGGTTTCTGGGCCGTTGTGCTGTCACTTACGCTGAAGGCGGCGGGGATGGGCGATGGGGCAGTCCCCGGGCCCCATAGACAACGCCTCCCCAGCCCCCTTAGATGCTAAGGTTCACATAAAAATAAGGTAAAACCAAAATGATGAATTTGGCGACTCCACGTGAGTGTACATCTCCACTTGTTATGGGTCTCTGAAGCTAAAGGATCTTAGTTTTTAGTACTGCAGCGTGGCTCCTTTTATGTTTTTCAGTGTGCTAAGATATACAAAACAAAGTTTACCATTTAAGCCATTTTTAAGTGTACAGTTCAGAGTCATTATGTACATTTACAATGCTGTACAATCATCACCACTGTAAAAAAATCAAACAGGTATCTCAAATAGAGTAGGGAGATCAGAAGGGGGAGTTCTCATATTCTGCGACCACAGGGAGCCCAGTCATAAGTAGAAAGACTCCTGCTTCCTGGCAAGGACTCGCCAATGAAAAGCCAGGGACTCTTTGTTTATTACAGCTCTCCCAACTTCCGTTTCCCCCTCTGTAAAAACATTTTCCTTCCCTCGACTTCAGTGTGGCTCGTCATGGTTTCAGATCCCAAATTGCAATTCTCTGCTGACCCTGAATAAACCCATCTCTGCTGGGAAACTATCTGGCAGTCTATTTCAGGTCAACACCATTATCTGTCTCCGGAGCTTTCGCATCCTCATAAACAGAAACTCTATACCCATTAAACACTAACTCCCTGTTGCCTTCTCCCCCCAGGCCCTGGCAAACACCATTCTACTTTCTGTCTAAGATTTTGACTACTCCGGGAACCTCATTTAAGAGGAATCATACAGTATTTGCCTTTTTGTGACTGACTTATTTCACTTAGCATTAAGTCCTCAAGGTTCATCCATGTTGTAGCGTACGACAGAATTTCCTTCCTTTCTAAGGCTGAATAATATTCCATTGTATGTATATACTACATTTAGTTCATGCATTCATCTGTCACAGACATTTGGGTTACTTCCACCTTTTGGCTATGGTGAATAATGTTGCTTTGAACATGAGTGTACAGTTATCTGTTTGAGCCTCTGCTTTCAATTCTTTGGGTATATAACTTGAAGTGGTATTACTGGATTATACAGTAACTCTATTTTTAATTTTTTGAGGAACCGCCATACTGTTTTCGGGATGGCTCCTTTTTGATGTATATTTTTGATTAGACCTTATCAGCTGGGTGTATGCCTAACCAAGGAAGGGACAATGGGGGCAGGTCCAGACCTCCTGAGTCCCTAGACACACCTCATTCCTTTTATTTCTGTCCTAAAACTTTTCTTTCAAAAATTTCCCCATTTTGGCTAGTCCACAGTTTCATGAAGAGGTTTGGGAAATGCTTTTGGCACTCTATGTGTTAGGGTTCCACTTCCCTAGGTGGTGGATGGAGAGGTGGAGCTGTGTCTGGGCCCATTTTTGCCAGGTTTGCTTCACCATTGGGTGCTCAGCTGGGCATGAAGCCATTGGGGCAGCTCTCCTCTTTGTTTCCAAACAGGGTGTTCAGGAGGGAGCCATGCTGGGGTTTCTGGATTTATATATTTTGACACACTAGTAGTATACAAATATGTTTAAAATAGGACAACTGATAATTATTTACGTGAAAAACTTGGACTCTTTGTCTATAGTGCCATGAATCCTTGCCTAATGGTTAAGTCTAGCAGCTGGGCAGAACATTTTTGGTTAATGAGTAAGAAAGTGGCTCATGTACAGTTTCAGAAAAGTGAAAGGAGTTCTCTTGGTCTTTATAGAATCTTAGTGATCGAATGGGTTGCAGATTGAGAAGTCATCTTGTCCACCACCCAGTGCTAGAATATTCTACAGATCCCATGTGTGCATTGCATCTTTGCAGGAATACTGCTTGGGTCAGGGAGCTGCTTAACCTGTCCTGTTTTAAGACAATGCTGATTATTATGAAAATTAAAGGAAAAAAAAGAGCTCAGATAAGCCTCTTGCTCATTGGTCCCTGTTCTCTGGAGCAACATGGGCTGACTCTGCACCCTTTTCTAAATTCTTTGGATATTTGAAGAACTATTTTGTAGGACACAAAATATGGAAAAAAAAGCTAAATAGGTTTAACAATTCTCAACTCATCTAGCAAAGTATCCATCTTGTGGCTTGAATGGCTTCCCATTGCTCTGAGGCTTAAGTCCTACAACTCCTGTAGGGCCTAGCCTTTGCCTACTTTTACAGCTTCAGCTCATACCACTCTCCCCTTGGTCACTGTAGTTCAGGCACTCTTGCAAAAATGTTTGTAACCTATTTTTTTTATACTCTATGATATACTATGTACAAAATGAAAACATGCTCACCAAATTACAGATGTCACAAAACTAAGAGGAAGAGTCAGTGTATAAAAAAAAAATAAATCAGAATCTGGAACAATCTAGAAAGATCTGGGGCCAAATAAAGATGAAAATTGAACAGGGATATATTTAAAGTTTTGAATTTAGGATGAGAACCTATAGGTCTTTGTTGCCTACAAACCCTATATGAATCAACAATGTCACTTGCTTTCAAAAAGCTAATGTCACTTTCTAAAAACAGCATGGTGTCTGAAATTGGAAGGACAAGATCCCACTCTAAGCTGTGCTGGGCTGGCCATATCCTGAATAGTATACTAATTTCTGGGTAACAAGTTTTATGAGAGATATTGACAAGCCAACATTGGCCAAGACTCAAGAGGACAATTTTGACAAATGTATATGGTCATGAAACCACCACACAATCAAGGAATAGGTATAGATACACAAGCATATTTTACATCCGACACAGTACTTATTGTTATCCCAACTATTTCCATCATCCCCCAAAAGTTCAAGTGTAGGTATATGTAAGCATCAGAGGGATGATTTAATTGGCGGGAGGGTTAGGGAAATATCCTTTCCCTTTTCCTTCTATACCTTGGACTTACAGGTGATGTGGCTCTACTCTCATCAATTTGGAGACTGACGTATAAGACCATAATAAAGAAATAGACTCCAACAAGTTCAGTGCTAGGATTGTTGAAGCTCATCATGGTGACCGTCTCACTGTACATGCAGCTGGGGAGTAGGGGGTAGGGGATATGCATAGCTGAACCTGTTAGAATAATACTTGAGGCCATTTCTAGAATGATTCAATATTTCACTGTTAAAGACTGAGCAGCTATTGTGCTTTTTAAGATTTCTTGAATTGGTATTGCTTGCTCAGTGTTTTGTATTTCTCTATTTCTTAAAATATTGATACCTAGTCTTACTCTAGCCAGACTTGGGGTACAGAAACCCTAGGAAAGTAATGGCAATTAGAAAGAACAGTGTGAAACAAACAAGAGAACAGGGTTTTTCCTTTTCTCTCTGTTTTTCTGCAGTGCTCTGTATCTGTGCCTCTATTCTGTGGTGCTCAATTAGGCTGAGTTTGGCTGTAAGTAATAGCAAACCAAATGTAAATGATTTAAAATCACAATAATGGGACTTCCCTGGTGGTGCAGTGGTCAAGAATCCGCCTGCCAGTGCAGGGGACGTGGTTTCGAGCCCTGGTCTCGGAAGATCCCACATGCCCTGGAGCAACTAAGCCTGTGCGCCACAACTACTGAAGCCCGCATGCCTACAGCCTGTGCTCTGCAACAAGAGAAGCCACTGCAATGAGAAGCCCACGCACGGTAACGAAGAGTAGCCCCCACTCCCCACAACTAGAGAAAGCCCGCGTGCAGCAACGAAGACCTGATGCGGGCAAAAATAAAAAAAAAATAAAATCGCAATAATGTTTCTTGTGGTCTTAAAGTCTGGCAGTAAGTAGATTCTTAGTGCAGCAATGTCTTCAGAGATGCTGACTCTATTTCTCTTTCCATTCTGCCATCCTCAGCGTGTGGCTGTGTCTTCCCAAGTGCAAGTTGGTTAGCACAGTTCCAAGCTCTACGTCCTCATAGAACATGTCTCATGCAGGAAGGAAGGGAGAAAAAAAAGACTTTCTTCTACATGGCTCTTTTATCAGAGTAGAAAATCTTTCCCAGAAATTGCCCCCGGCAGACATCTCATTAGGCAGGACTAACTCAACGTGACTTAGTCATGGGAGGACAGAATGACCATGATTGCCTCAGACCAATTGGACTCATTCTTTGAGTCCAGTTGGTCTAAGCCAATTCAAGACATATTTCCTTCTGAATGAAGTCAGGGTTCTGTCAGTAAGGAAGATGGGGAGATGGTGATTGGGTGGACAACCAACAGTGTTCATCATATTCTTCTCTTCTCTCTCTGATGTCATTTTTAGGATTTTACCTACTAAAAACCTGCTGATGTCTTCCAAGTCTGTATCTAGTTCTAACTTTTCTTGAGTTCCAGACACATCATCATCTGCCCATTGTACATCTGCACCTGGGTGTCCTGCCAGTAGCTCAAGTTACGTGTCTAAAATGGTACTCATTATATTTCATCCTAGAACTCCATATTTTCACCCAAAATACTGATTTAGACACCACTGCTCACCCTCTCTCCAGTAGCAGGAGACTGAGAGTCATCTTGGGCTACTCTTCCACTTCTTCCCACATCTAATTCCAAGTTCTCTTGATTTCAACTTTTTCCAACTCAACATACTTTGTATCTATGCTTTCCAAAAGGATCCATTAGTCCTTAATGTGGCTCTGAATGTGTGGGTTTGTATGGACATATGAACACATGTGTTGTGTGTAATATGAGCTTTAAATGAACCTGGGAATACTATCATTTGTATACCTTTTATGCATACTGGCAAGCTAACAAAGGGGAGAGAAAAACCATAAAATCTTGGTATGGTTTTGTAACACTACTTATAGTTATTTACTTTTATTATCTGTTCCTAATTACCATGCTGTAAAATAATGATTAAGACAACATGTAATTATGGGCCAGATTTACTTTTTTCTAAATTATATTTAATTATGATTGATAATAATGGATCAGTTCACATTGTTGATGGTGATGTAACACTACGATTGGATCACAACTTCTAGAACCTAGAAGAAACGTTGCTCATGTTCCAGAAAAGAAAGTTGAGATAACAGTTGTCCTGTGGTTGCCAAAGTTAGGTTCATCCCATTTTAGCTAGTAGGACTTGAGAGCAGGTGAAATTGAATGACACAAGAATGACAAAGGCAGAGGAGTGAAAGAGTTTGGCCAATTATCAGTTCAAATGAACAAGGTAATTAATACAAATTTATTATCGTAATTACAGAACTCCCAGGTACTAGAATACAGAGCTTCACAGCAATGGAAAAAGCACAACTTGGATCAAAGTGCCTTAGTGCCTGAAACTCATTCAGCCTGGAAAACACTGTCTACTATTGTTGAAGATACATGGGCATACTCAGAGATTGCAAAAATTGCCATAAATATAATAATGTTACAATTATCTTAGAAATAATATTTATAAATATATAAGTGTAATAAATAATAATTTTAAATAATATTGCATCCTTTGCCTTCTTCTTGAGGCTCAGCTTCAAGAAGTATTTTACTAAAACGAGCTCACGGATTGGCATAAAATACCGTTGAGGCAGGAAGGATATAGCCATCATTCCCTCCATTTTGAAGATGATCAAACTGAGGTCCCAGAAACTTACAGTGTTTGATAAAGGGTCCATCAGCAACTTAAAGGCAGAAGCTAAGCAGTTGGAATGAAATCCTGGGTCCATGGCTTCTCATTCCAAATACTATGGTGGGTATTTCTTAGTATTCTTATGCCTTAGTTAACCCATCTGTAATATGGGTAGAGCCTTTTTGGTAGCCACGGTCAGTAGCCCTGGCCCTCCCAAGATTGTATGCATAGTAATAATTAAAATGATTGGTAATTTGCAAAGCATAGGGTGTTCTTTAAATAACAAGCAACATTATATGTTAGTGTTGGTTCTACTAGACTTTGTGCCCTCTCTTAGAAAGAGAGTGAATATTCATTTAGAGTTACAAAGGCTCAACACATGCTCAGAGAGTGACTAAGAGTGCAGGATTTGACTCCTTCGTGTACATGGTACATACAGATTGTCAACACTTCACAAGTAAGTAGCCTCCACAGTCAAAACTGAAAGTCAGTGTTAGAGGGCGGGCCCCTTGCCAGGTGCACCCGTTTTTCTTGCTTTGTGGCAAAATACAACTTTGGATGGGCAACTGATTTGAAGTTGCTCATACTGCCAGTCCTTTCCAAGAAGAAGAGGAGATTGGTCTCATCTTTGATGGTTTGGGGTGTCTCGGGCATCTCCTAGGATAAGGAAAACAAAGATCTATTAAAAGAGAACAGGAAGATGCTAAAAAAAGAACTGATGCTCAATCCCTTGGCTTTTGGTCTTCATGAGATACACAGCATTTTAGGACTATGACTCGGTAACATGATGATATAGGTTCTTCATTCATTTGTTCATTCAGAAAGCATTTATTACATGCCTGTTAGATGCATGGCCCCATCTATTCATAATAATTGATTTCCTCAGTTAACTGGAGAGAAATCCAATGTCATCATGAATATCGCCAAAGACACTAGTGTCTCACTGTATCCTGACAGGTAGGGTGAAACATTCTTCTTGTCCTGCCTGAACATGGGAATAGAACATTTTGCATCAGATATGAGCACTAAGGATGCTAAGACCTTGAAACCTTTTGACCTCTAAATGTGCAAAACATACTTTGGGAAAATAACTTAGAATTCAGACATGTTTATCTCTGTATTTAAGTCAACAGTTGAAGACTAAAGAAACCCAAATCTCACACACACACATACACAAAACTTCCCAGGCATATTAGAAGCTGAATCCTTTCAGTACACTTTTTTGAAAATTGTGATCCCTTTAGACGACACTCCTCTTGTTCCTCTTGCGAGTATGAAAAAAATTTAACAGTACTTTCATGGAAAAACAAAATTCACGTTCTAACTTAAGATGCTTCTTCTCTATTCTTTTAATAGAAAAGAACTAAATACCCTTTTGAGGTTTCCTTGGGTTTTTCAATGTCAACAAGGATTTTATTTCTCAAACCTATTTCTCTCCGTTTCCCCCTCTTCCTCTTGTTGGTTCTATCTCCAAAATATAACCAGATTCTGTCTCCTTCTTTCCACCTGTCTCACAACTCCCACCCCCCACCCACCCCAACTGTTACTACCACATCTTAATCAGATTTTCTCTATTGCCTCCTTTCTGATCTATTCTCTGAGTTAGAAAATATAAGTAAAGTCAGAATACTTCCCTGTTTGAAATCCTTTCCTCTATTTATCTTTCCTTTTTTTCAGGGTGTCCCAGCTTCTTGGGTGTCCCTTCTGATCTTTGAAGCTGGCCTTGTAAAGCTCTAGGGCTGGGTGCACTCAGATCCCTTTGTTTGGAATGCCCCCCCCCCACCCCCAACCCTTGATGGCATGCTCCCTCCTAGCAGCAGCTCTCATCTCTAGGGAGCTCTGTGTAAAAAGCATGCTCTCATTTTCTCTATCTCAGCACCCTGTTCATTGGCTTTACAGCATCTTGCACTTTTTGCTGGTTGTTTGGCTCATCTATTGTCTGTGCCCTTCAGAAGAGTGAGTTCTATAAGGCTTTGGCTCACCACTGTCTACTGAGCTGTTGACACTGCTTGAAAAATAGAAGGCTCTCAATAAACAACGTTTGTTGAATGAATTCACAAATGAAGTTACTGCCCTGCTCTATAGACATCACTTTCATCTGACTTGATCCAGGAAGAGAGACACATGCATCCACATAAATCCTAGTTAGGGTAGGAGCGGGGGTTGGATTACACATTTACTGAATAAGAGTCACCCACTAATCAGTGGAGAAAACATTTGGCTCTAGTGGGCATGTGTGTGTGTCTGTATGTTTGGAGGGGAATGTGGTAGTAGAGATGAGGCTGGGCTGAGAGAGAAAACTGGCACCAATGAAGAGAGAGAGCCACTGCAGTCAGAAGGCCAGGGTTTGAGCCTTGGCTCCCAGCTTTTGCTTTGTACCCACTGGCAGGTGATTAATCCTCTGTGATCTCAGTGGCTTATTTGACACTCTTGGAGGCAGGCCCCCTGGTCCTAAAGCCTACCCTCATGTAGGTCAGATAGTAGATGTCAGTAAAGCTCAAAGAGGGATGGAATAAACAGATGCCCAGGGATGGGAGGTGAATAGAACCAGGCAGGGAAAAGAGAAAGAAGAAGGCAGTTTGCCTTTTATGTAATTTTGTCACCTCCATCTTGCTCTCTCACAGATCCTGCCTAGAACTACCATATAGTGGGTAAGAAGTAGGATGGGGGCTTCCCTGGTGGCGCAGTGGTTGAGAGTCCGCCTGCCAATGCAGGGGACTCGGGTTCGTGCCCCGGTCCGGGAAGATCCCACATGCCGCGGAGCGGCTGGGCCCGTGAGCCGTGGCCGCTGAGCCTGCGCATCCGGAGCCTGTGCTCCACAATGGGAGAGGCCACAACAGTGAGAGGCCCGCGAACTGCAAAAAATAAATAAATAAATAAAATAAAATAAAATAAAATAAAAAAGTAGGATGGAAAAGCAGGTGGGCAGGTAGGACTGTGGTAGGAAGAAAAGAGGACTGTGCCATCCTGCTAGGGGTGTCTGCCTCTTGGGATCATCTACAAATGCATGGGTTGTAAATGAAGGTAAATTGGAGACTGAGAACAACTGACCTTTAGCAATACGGGTTCGTCTTCGTTTTGAGCACACACAAACAGTTGAGTTTTTGAGATTCTTAGAGTCACAGGAAGTAGAGAATCCTCTTCTGATGTATAAGAACTTACGTCAAATTTCACTGGCAAAGAGAAAAGCCAAAAAAAAAAAAAAAAGTAAATCCATTGTATTTGTGTAAAATCAAGTGTCTATGAAGATGCTGTGTGTGGGCTTCCCTGGTGGCACAGTGGTTGGGAATCCGCCTACCAATGCAGGGGACACGGGTTCGAGCCCTGGTCCAGGAGGATCCCACATGCCACAGAGCAATTCAGTCTGTGCGTCACAACTACTGAGCCTGTGCTCTAGAGCCCGCTAGCCACAACTACTGAGCTCACGTGCTGCAACTACTGAAGCCCACGTGCCTAGAGCCCGTGCTCCGCAACAAGAGAAGCCACCGCAATGAGAAGCCCGTGCACTGCAACGAAGAGTAGCCCCTGCTCACCGCAAATAGAGAAAGCCCGCACATAGCAATGAAGACCCAATGCAGCCAAAAATAAATAAATAAGAAATAAATTTATATATATATATAAAAGATGCTCTGTGTGTGTGTGTGCAGTTATGTCCCCAACTATGGTGTAAGTACCCGAAGGTCAGGAATGGAATTTATACATCTTTGTATCCTTGACAATGTCTGCCTTATTCACTAGGCAGGTAAATACTTGGTTAATGGCTTTAGAATTTTCTATGTTGAATGAATGCTTGGGGGCTGCATATTTATTGAATCTCTTATAATTATATTAGTGGGATAAGACCCTGGAATTTGTGAAGTCATGAGTAAAATGGAGGGGTTTAGAAGCTGATACACTCATATGTTGCTAAGGATAGTGAAAAGTAGTTCAGTTTTCCTTAGAGAACAATGCTTAATAAGAGCTGTAAAATTATTTATGCCTAGAAATCCAGCATCTGGGATACGTTCCAAGAAATAAGCTCATAGAGAAAGAAATAATTTAAACAAAGACATTTGCAACTGAATTATTTAAAGCAAACCCAAGGCACCAGCATAGCAACATGATCGAATATTCTAGTGCCATTAAAAATGGCAAATACATATACTCTGTCAATATGTGGAAAAATTGTGTGAAACAATATTAAGTAGGAAAGTAGAACACAAAATAATTTGTAAATGTCTTATAGTGGAAAGCATGTTAGCTGAAATATATCCAATCAGAAAGAGCCCTGCTTGTTTATCACAAAGTAGCCTCTTTGGACCTCTGAAGATAATTTTGTTTACTGATGACATGCCCCTAAGCTAAAATATGTACACCATGGAAATTGGATCGTTGTGACAAAATTTCTTGCATCCTAAATTTCATTCTTCAGAACATATTTGCAGCTTATTGGCTACTTTGCCTCACAATTATGTTATCAGAGATAATGATTCTTGGGCTTCCCTGATGGCGCAGTGGTTAAGAATCCGCCTGCCAGTGCAGGGGACACGGGTTCGAGCGTGGTCCAGGAAAATCCCACATGCCGCGAAACAACTAAGCCTGTGCACCACAACTACTGAGCTCACGTGCTGCAACTACTGAAGCCCTCACGCCTAGAGCCCATGCTCTGCAACAAGAGAAGCCGCAACAGTGAGAAGCCCGAGCACCACAAGGAAAAGAAGCCCCCTGCTCGTCGCATCTAGAGAAAGCCCGTGCGCAGCAACGAAGTCCCAACGCAGCGAATAAATAAATAAATAAACAAATATATATATATATATATATATATATATATATATATATATATGACTAATTGAAAAAAAGAACTGTCAACTGAGAATTCTATATCTGGCAAAACTGTCCTTCAAAACTGAATGAGAAATTAAGACACAAATATATATATATATATATATATATATATATATATATATATATATATATATAAAGATAATGATTCTTCCTAGTTTGGTGTTATTTGGAAGTTTGATCAGCAGGCTCCTCATTGGCTTCTGAGTAAATTTGCATAAGTCACTGAATATCTCTGAGGCTCCATTTACTTACCTTTAAAATCAAGGATAAGACTACCTCAGAGAACCAAAGGAGACAGTATCTCAGAAAGCTTTAAACTGCAATTAGAGCTTTCATAGCTAAGACACTTCTCTCTTGTTAAAGCTTCCAGATTTGGCTGAAGTTCCTGTCGTTGCCCAGAATTTTTACCAGGGATGATGTGCTTCATCCTATTCTAGATAAATCGTGCAAAGCCAGGAATCTAGAGAGGTTTATTCTTTAAAAGCAGAAAGCTTAAAAGAAATACAGAAATAAAAAGGGTGGGGGAAGATGACAGAATTGTCCATTTACCTGCCTCATCCAGATTATTTAATGCAGCAGCCACGAGGTATGGACCTGACGAATCTTGAACTATACTTTGATGGAGGGCGTCATTCAGGATGCATTGCTCTTTGATGACCCTAATAAAGTTGTATTGCATGTTGCTCTGGAAGCTGTAATGTGCTGATCTGGGCTTGATGATTTCTAAAACCGTTATCACGAGCTCAGATTAATGTCCAAGTACAAACATAGATGATATACATGCTCTAATACAAGCTATTGAAGGGACAATGAAGAATATCCCAGTCTAGGTGAGGAAACTGAGAGAGAAGTGAAATCACCCTGTCAGCAGAATTGGTTCTAGGATTATCCCTGTGGTTACTTATTTGTTTCTTTTTAAACTTAGATTCTTCAGGCAATAGTTTTTTTAAAAAAGATTACCTGTACAACTTTTTTGGTTGTTTGGAGGTTTGTAAGTAACCAGGAAGACACCCTGTATTCTCCACCTATAGTTTTAAATGAATGCACTCTGAGAAAAAAATGAATACACTAGGAATTTTTTTTTTTTTTTTTTCGCGGTACGCGGGCCTCTCACTGTTGTGGCCTCTCCCGCTGCGGAGCACAGGCTCCGGACGCGCAGGCTCAGTGGCCATGGCTCACGGGCCCAGCCGCTCCGCGGCATGTGGGATCTTCCTGGACCGGGGCACGAACCCGCGTCCGCTGCATCGGCAGGCGGACTCTCAACCACTGCGCCACCAGGGAAGCCCCACTAGGAATTTTATATGTCACTGAGGTGCAGGTCTAAATGTCTGCCACCTTTTTTTTTTTTTTAAATCTTTATTGGAGTATAATTGCTGTACAATGGTGTGTCAGTTTCTGCTTTATAACAAAGTGAATCAGCTATACATATATCCCCGTATCTCCTCCCTCTTGCGTCTCCCTCCCTCCCACCCTCCCTATCCCACCCCTCTAGGTGGTCACAAAGCACCGAGCTGATCTCCCTGTGTTATGCGGCTGCTTCCCACTAGCTATCTATTTCACATTTGGTGGTGTATATATGTCCATGCCTCTCTCTCACTTCATCCCATCTAAACTTTCCCCCTCCCCGTGTCCTCAAGTCCATTCTCTACATCTGCGTCTTTATTCCTGTCTTGCCCCTACGTTCTTCAGAACCTTTTTTTTTTTTTTTTTTTTTTTTTCCCCTATTTTTGGGCTTTTCTCTTTCTGACTTCACTCTGTATGACAGACTCTAGGTCCATCCACCTCATTACAAATAACTCAATTTCATTTCTTTTCATGGCTGAGTAATATTCCATTGTATATATGTGCCACATCTTCTCTATCCATTCATCTGTTGATGGACACTTAGATTGCTTCCATGTCCTGGCTATTGTAAATAGTGCTGTGATGAACACTGTGGTATATGACTGTTCTTGAATTATGGTTTTCTCAGGGTATATGCCCAGTAGTGGGATTGCTGGGTCATATGGTAGTTCTATTTTTTAGTTTTTTAAGGAACCTCCATACTGTTCTCCATAGTCTGCCACCTTTCTTTTCATTTTTTGAAAAGAATTTTTTCTTTTTTTTTTTCTATCTACCACCTTTCTGAACAGGGGTATATGTCAACAGCTTCACAAATCCTCATGGCTCTGAATAATTCTACTTCTAGGAATTTTTTTATTCTAAGGAAATAAATGATAGAAATGAAGATTTATTGATATGGCTATTCATTGCCACATTACTTATAATGGTAAAAAACTGGAGCTCTAAAATGCCTTTTATTTATTGACAAATGAAAAAAGTTGGATATTAAATTGTATGTAATTGACCTAATAATGCTTAACATGTATATTCCTGTGTGTGCATTCACATAGAAAAGACTTTAAGGAAGGTAACATAGTGCTGGCAGTGGTAAACTCTTGAGGGGTAGTATGAGTATGCGTGGTTTTAACTTTCATTCTTGTATTTTCCAATTTTCTAGGTGAACATGTGTTAATATTTAGCTGTTACTTAAAAAGTATTAGGTTTATATTTCATGTGGAGGCTTGTATAGTGAAGGCATGGGAGAAAAATCATGACTTCTATGGTCAGATAGAACTGATTTGATTTGACACTTTACTACTTACACACTGAGATTTCGGGCAGGTCACTATCTCACTGAGCTTAATTTCCTCATATATAAAACAAGAATGTAGGATTGTTGTGAAGGTTAGAGATAATGCAGCCATTAGTAAGTTAGTAGTGTTGGTAGTATTAACAAAATAGTAGTAGTAATAATACTAATGCTAATAATAGCTAATATTTTTTAGGTATTGTCTATGTGCCAGGCATTATTTTAGTCCAGAAGCTTGCAAGTATCGACTCATTTAACCTTCACAACAGTTAGGGGATTACCCCCATTTTACAGTAGAGGAAACTGAAGTAGAGAAAGGTTAAGTAACTTTGCCCAAGGAGACATAGTCGGTATGTGGAGGAGCATAACTTCCACAGTGGAAGTCACCCACAAACAGTACGTAACTGCTTTCTGTCGAAAGGCGCAAAGTCACGTGACCTTAAGAATATGGCTACGAAGTGAGCCTGTGAGCAGGTATGCTCAACTCAAGCCACTGCTGACGTCTTCCCACTGGAGAAGGCTAAAAATTAACTTTCCTTTCTTATAGTTACCAGACGAATGGTTGGTTGCCCTCTTGTTACTCAAGCTTTTATTTTTCCCTGTACTCTGCTGTCCCCATTTGCTTAAAAATAGAAAACAAAGATATTATTGCACTTGACCCCTTACCTTCTTCTGTATCATTGGCCATGTCTTCCAGGTCATCATCGGTGAGGAACTGATTTAAACTCAACCATCTGTTCTTCAGAATCTTCCCTTTGGCTGCCATCATCACCACATTTTCCTTGAAGGTAAGCTTGGATGTCTTAGAGGTTTCAGGTGTATTCAGAGACATAAATTTATCCATGCAGTCCTCATGAAGTGGTTCATAGCTTGCATCATAGAAGGACTTCTGTGAGGAAGGAAAATGAAAACTGAGAGGCTGCCCATGGCCATAGAATGAGACTCCTTTATAACAGGAGTTTTATTCAACAGACTTAGAGAGAAGAATGTCCATGTTGGTCTTGGGTAACCCATGTTTCATCAGTCTTTCCCTCCTTCCTCCTTTCCTCCTTTCCTTTTCCTCTGCCTCCTTCCTCTTTACCCACTTCCTCCCATCCCTCCTTTGAGGATTTCCCTGAAAAGATGTGATCTCTGGGAAGGTCTTTGTCATCCAACCACAGACTCAAAAATGAGATCTTGTTATACTTAGTGAAGTAAGTCAGAGAAAGACAAATACTATATGATATCACTTATATGGGGAATCTAAAAAATAATACAAATGGACCTATATACAAAACAGAAATAGACTCACAGACGTAGAAAACAAACTTACGGTTACCAAAGGGGAGATGTAAGGGGGGAGGGGCAAATTAGGGACGTGGAATTAAGAGATACACACTACTCTACATAAAATAGATAAGCAACAAGGATTTACTGTATAGCACAGGAAATTATATTCAATATCTTGTAATAGCCTATATCAGAAAAATACTGTATCACTATGCCTCCTCCTGAAACTAACACAATATTGTAAATCAACTATATTTCAGTAAAAAAAAAATGACATGTTGTAATGAAACAGGTCTACAAGTGATCTTAGTGAGTGGTAGCCTTCCGGTCAGTTCCCCCTTAGGAGGTTAAACATCTACTTGACAATGCTTAAATATTTTAGAAATACTCCTCTAGGTATAGCTTTTAGAACCAGTACCGAAGACACACAAACCAGTACCTATTTGTGGTCTCCTAGCCAAATAACACAGCATGTGAATGGCTGCAGATTTTTTACTTTCAACTGGTCTGCTTCTTCCATTTCAGCTTCATGGGCTATTACACTTAGAGGGCTATCTCTAATCTCTGGAGCTGGTGTTAGAGAAGGTGTCAACAACACGTCACTTAAGGAGACGGACCCCTGGTGAAGTGGCCCAAAGGGGCTGTCCCAGGATGGCAAAACCAACATTCTGATTGAAGGCTGACCCAGGAGACTCCATTCTTGGAGTTTCAGGTGAGTTCTGCTCTGTTCTGGGAAAATCTGGTGACCATGAATGATGCCATCAACTGTTAGTGCAAAGAGGCAGTTGGTCTCGCTTATAATGAAAAAATGCATGTCTCTGGACTTCTAGTGAAGGTAAAACAGAAGCATCTAAGATTCAAGCCGTTGTTATACTAGTAGAGAAAATACTGCATAAACACAGCAATCTCCTAAGAATTACAGTCATATGCTTACCTGATTCAGAGACAGATGGTCAATTTCGGAACTGTATTCTTCATTTTCACTGTTAAACAAGAGGATGAGAATTTAATTCTGTTTGTTATATCACTGCAGTCACTGGGCAACATATTTTAATAACTATATTAGCTTTGGGTAACACACACACACACACATGGCCATTACTGTCATCTTTGAAAATTAAGGACCTCTGTGCATACACACCCATACAGTAATTTGTACTTGATAATTTGGCATTAGTAATCATTGGGCCAGGCCTTGAACTCTACCTGTGCTCTATCTATAAAAATGAGGCTTGGCTAACCAATTGAAGAGTTGTAATTGAATTTTGGAGAAAAATTTTAAGCTCCTGAAGAGAGAAGAAACACTTTTGAAGCACCTCATTTAAATTTGAACCAAATGGGTTATATGTTACACTTTGCTTTCATGTATTCACTAAAACAGATTTAATAATTTATACCTTGCAAAATATCCAGGCAACATTTCCATAGTCTAGTTTGTGGTTAGTGTATCTTAATAGGTAATGGGAATACCATGTTGGTTTAAAGTGTTATACAATTTTAACTTTTTATTCATTATCTTTCTCCTATGTCTGAATGAGATTGACTGTGTATGTTTCACATGCTCCAATTGCTGTGAAGCCATTTCCTATTCCAGATTGAGATCAAGAAGTTTTCCTGAGAAAGGTTTCTCTTTCTGACAATCCATTAAAACTCCTTACTGTATCAGGGCATGTGAACCAGACTGAAGCTGTGTCTAAGCAGATGCTGAAAGCCACTAGGACCCAGCAGCCCTTAAAAGGGATCTTTCGGGCTTCCCCGGTGGCGCAGTGGTTGAGAATCTGCCTGCTAATGCAGGGCACATGGGTTCGAGCCCTGGTCTGGGAAGATCCCACATGCCGCGGAGCAACTGGGCCCGTGAGCCACAACTACTGAGCCTGCGCGTCTGGAGCCTGTGCTCCGCAACAAGAGGGGCCGCGATAGTGAGAGGCCCGCGCACCGCGATGAAGAGTGGCCCCCGCTTGCCACAACTGGAGAAAGCCCTCGCACAGAAACGAAGACCCAACACAGCAAAACTAAATAAATAAATTAATAAACTCCTACCCCCAACATCTAAAAAAAACAAAAACAAAAAACCAACCTGATTAAAAAATGGGCAAAAGACCTGAATAGACATTTAAAAAAAAAAAAAAGTGATCTTTCTAGAATGGCTACCTCCCTGTCAATTTCACCTCAGTTTACATTCTGGGTGCTGTTTCCCTGGGTCTTCACTGAACCTGCCCTGACTTCAGAGGTAGGACACATCTTTACAGCCTCTGTGGGTCTGGCCCATGCTGGTTACGGTAATCTCAGCTGGATTCTAATGTACCTTGATCCCCTCATTAAATCACAAGAGACAGAATCTCTTTCCTACCTGTAACAGTTCTTCAGATCTTCAAAGAGGTCAGGGACTTTGGCCATCTTCACTTCTGCAACAGAGAACATCAGTAGCTGTCAGCCCTGCCAGCCTCTGAACCAGATGCCAGCAAGGAGAACCACCTCCCCTTCGTGTTTCTTGAGACATTTAATGAATGACTTAGCTCACACTCAGCATTCTTCTTTTCACTCCCTTGAATTATTTGCATATGTATTTGCCTCCTCTGCTACACAGTAAACTTCTTTTAGAATCTTGGTAACCCTTATGTGTCCAACCCAATGCACCGCACATGGTAGGCATTCAATGAAAGTTTGAATAAGTAAAAAACAAGAAACAAAGAATCCCCAACAAGGATGAGATATTTACCTTACACAGATGCAAGAGAGAGACAGAAATTCCCAGTTTTCTCCTAACAGTTTTTGGTTGTAGAGATTCCCTCCAAGGAAAGCCTTGGCTGCACCCTCCAATGCCCTCATATGTAACCAGTTCCTCTGTCCCTCTATTTCCCACCAGTAGAGAGAATCATTTTCTGAAATCTGACTGTGATTCTAACTCACACACCAAACCAGAGAGGGATGGGAAAGGAAGAGGCTTTAGCTTCAGAGGAGGCAGTTTGAGAGATCACAGCCAAGGAGAAAAACAAAAAATATGTTTTAAGATCCAAAGATGTGATAAGGACGATACCTTTGCTGACTCGAGCGAGCGACAGTGAAATGACTTGCTCTCTTTCCGTGTGGAGACTGTAGCACCAGTCAGCTTTCTTCGCCTTTTGTCTGCTCTGGAGTGGGCGTGGCCACAATTGCACCACTGGGAATTCACAGGGAAAAATTCTGCTTTGTATTTTTTTAAGTTCATTCAACCTTATACTGGCCAAAATAATGGCAAACAGTATACTTGATCATAGTGTTTGCAGAGATTCCAGGAGTTTCTGACTTGGTTCATTTATTTATTGCTTTGCTCTAAACAGTTATAAACATGTAGTCTTAGAAAAAGGGAAGAAGAGGAAACTTAAGTTTCTAAAAATATTTGGTGGGGGATGGAGGGAGAACTCCTAAAAGCAGAATTGTAGATAGTTAGAGTTGGAGGGGCGCTTAGGAGTTGTAGTTTGTGTTTTGGCTTAATTTGTTTATTGCGCCCCAGGGCTGAGTATGAATTGATGGAATACTTAGCAGCCCCCGCCCCGCAGCTAAGGGGTGGCTCTTGAGAGAAGACGATCCATCTTTTCTGAAGAGGGAGGTCTGCTTGAGTAGGCATACATCACTCTGAGTATGGGGTGACAACCTCTCTGTTAGGGGAGGGTACAGGAGAGAAAAATGATAGTCAACCACAGAAGTCCATCCTTTTACTCCTCTGAATACTTTCAATCCATTTCAGACAGAAGTGACAGAGCTTTAGGAGAAAACTCTTTTCCTGGCCATGTTTGGCTTCTACCAGAGCCCAAAGAGAAGAATGGTCTTCTCTAGGATAAACCCAAGGTGTGTGAGGATAGCTGCAGACTCAGGGAGGTATGGACAAGGCTGGAAGCCAGTGGCTGGATTTAAGAATGGAGATTGGGGGACTTCCCTGGTGGTCCATTGGTTAAGACTCCACGCTTCCACTGCAGGGGCCTGGATTCCATCCCTGGTCGGGGAGCTAAGATCATGCATGCTGCGTGGCACGGTCAAAAATAAAAGAAGAATGGAGATTGAGAAAGGGAGGGACTCAGGGACTCTTATACACGACCCTGATTCAGTGCTGCCTGGCTGTTATCATCAAAGACTTTTTCAGTATCCTGAGGCTGGCCCAGTTCAGGTGGCAGAACACCAGACTCTTAGCAGATAAATGTTTCAGGCTTCCTGGTTGGAGTTTAAGCCATATAATTTAAAGTAAAGGAAATGGATGGGAAAAGAGGGTAGAGGAGGAATATAAAAAGTAAAGAGAGGGCTTCCCTGGTGGCGCAGTGGTTGAGAGTCCGCCTGCCGATGCAGGGAACATGGGTTCGTGCCCCGGTCCACGAAGATCCCACATGCCGCGGAGCGGCTGGGCCTGTGAGTCATGGCCGCTGAGCCTGCGCATCCGGAGCCTGTGCTCTGCTATGGGAGAGGCCACAACAGTGAGAGGCCCGCATACTGCAAAAAAAAAAAAAAAAAAAAAAAAAAGGAAGGCAAGACACCACAATGCAACATGATATTAAAAAGCAAAAAAAAGCTCAGAAGGGCTAGGAGTAAAGTGGTTTGGTGTGAGTTGAGTAAAGTACACTGTGTGGGCCTTGTTTAACGTAAATCATGAGGTTGGTTAGGTGATCATTAAGGTCTGTCCTAGGTGCGAAATCTCTGGTTCTGATTCTATTGTCCAGTTCAGTTCCTCCTGTTCACAGACCTGGTGTTATAATAGTTATAAATAAGAGCCACAGGAATAATTGGCATCCCAGGTAATGTAAATGTAGGACCAGATTGGGACGAGCTTGGGTGTCTCAGGATGGATCCTTTTGTGAAGGGTGTTGGCAGTCTGTGCTTCTCTTTCAGGCGACACAGAAATATTAACACTCGTTACCCCCTCTGCCTCTTACGGATCTTGTGAGGACTATTACTAAGAAACAATTGCAAAGCACATAGTGAATGTGGGCTGCTATGGAGATGCAATTAAACAAAAATAATAACAGCGCTAATGATGGCTTCTGTCACTTGGGACCCTGTATAGTCATCATTGTAATGCCTTAGATAACTGAAGAAAATATAGTTCTTATGAAAATAATGACTTGAAATTTCAACAGGGAGGACAATTTTCAGGTGAAGGCCTCCACTGAAACCTAGGGTGGGTTCAGTTTCTGGGAGGAATACATACCACCTCTTTGGTAATCCAGGAAAATACCCTTGGTTCCACCATCAGTGGCAACACCCATCCTGGCCGATGTCACATCTCTGTCATAGAAAATTACTCAAATGTGGTTGTTGAATTTCTCAAGGAGGGTCTGAACTGATTTTCTAGCCAGTCAACTGAGGTTGAGTCTCACCTAACTTTTTCCTGGACATGACCTTTTTGGAAACTGGTTTTTAAAGGAAGAACAAAAATGTGGGTGAGGTTTAGAGAGTGAGAAGTCCTTGCTTTGTTTTGGGGAACGTGCTTTTCTGTGAGTGTGAACAAAGCCTGACTTGCAAGTAATTCTCAGCACCAGACCTCCTCTTTCTAGGGAACAGAGAGAGGAACATACTGGAGCCCCAAGGGTGTTTGTGGGTTGTCCTGCGACTGGGAATTTGGGTGGTTTCCTGTATCTACTTCTTGACTCTGGGGAGGCCTCAAAAATCCTTCTTTAGTCATTTTTATCTAAATCATTCAGAAAAAAGTTATTGTGCCCTTATTCTGTGCCAGGGGTTTTGCCGGGCATCAGTATTTTTCTTTCATGATTCACAAAATTAGACAGGTATTGGGGCTTCCCTGGTGGCACAGGGATTAAGAATCCGCCTGCCAATGCAGGGGACACAGGTTCGAGCCCTGGTCCGGGAAGATCCCACATGCCGCTGGGCGACTAAGCCAGTGCGCCACAACAACTGAGTCTGGGCTCTAGAGCCCGCGAGCCACAACTACTGAGCCTGCGTGCCTAGAGTCCGTGCTCTGCTACAAGAGAAGCCACCGCAAATGAGAAGCCGACGCACCACAACGAAGAGTAGCCCCCGCTCGCCACAACTAGAGAAAGCCCGCACGCAGCAACAAAGACCCAATGAAGCCAAAAATAAATAAAATTAACTCTTAAAAAAAAAATTATAGGGCTTCCCTGGTGGCGCAGTGGTTGAGAGTCCGCCTGCCGATGCAGGGGACACGGGTTCGTGCCCCGGTCCGGGAAGATCCCACATGCCGCGGAGCGGCTGGGCCCGTGAGTCATGGCCGCTGAGCCTGCGCGTCTGGAGCCTGTGCTCCACAACGGGAGAGGCCACAACGGTGAGAGGCCCGCGTACCGCAGGGGGAAAAAAAAAAAAAAATATATATATATAGGTATGCAGGATGAGAGGATGTAGTATTTTGGTAGGTGACTGGATACGCTTTATGAGCTTGGAGGCTGTGGGTCTAACAGTCACGGTGGTGCTTTTCATTTGAAAACTGCTTTACATAGTTCACAAAGAGCTCTCACCGCACTGTCTCACTGGCTCCTCACTTTACCTACGAGAGACAGTGATTACCATGCCCTTTCCCAGCTGAGGACCCTTGAAGAGGTTAAGTGACCAACCTATGGTCACAAAACTGGCAGAGCCAGCACTTGAACTCAGGTTTCTGATTCCAAGTCCAAGCTTCTCTTTCCACAGCATATAGATGCGCCAGTCTCTTATCACCACCAACGCCAAGTGACAGGGCTGAAACTGATTGTCCTTAAAGGTCTTTCCTGCCTCAAACAGCCTATCATTCAGTGATTCTAAGGTTCTTTGTAAAAAAAAAAATAAAAAGAAAAAAAAGAAATGGTTTGAAATAGCTTTCCTCTCTTCTTCTACTATGAAATCTCACTTTTTTCTTTGGAAAGGGGTGAAGGCGATCAGCGTAATCGAGTACATGATCGTGGTGGAGTCTGAATGGGGACTTTGGTGATGCTCTCGTCATTGTATCACGAAGACAGGAATCATCTGTAAACGTCTTGGGAGCCAACTTTAAAATCATTGCATGTAGTTGGATGTGACAGGGTGACAGAGTGCTTGATTGAAGGGAGATAATCTAATCTGTGAGGTCGGTATTCTTATCACATTTATAGAAGAGGAAGCCTACGTGCAGGGAGATGGAGCAATCTGTTTGAGATCGCAAGGTTACCAAGTTGCCGAAATGGAATTCAGATTCCAGAGCCAAGGCTCAATCAACCACGAGGGAGTCTCTTTTCCTTAGTGTGTGACATTTTTCTTTCTTTCGCTCTTCTTAATGTCTAATTTCTTCTGCTTTGTCTTGTTAGTCTTTCGAAGGATGTAGAATGATATGTTGGAGAAAGATGCACCTCAGACACTATCTAGATTGAACACTTCCTAAAAGAGGACGTAGGCTCAGAGAGGGGGAGTGTCAATGTCCCAAGGTCACATGGAGGGTTCATGATGAGA